CTCCTGCCACACAGATGTACCCGACACTTTCCTGTTTAGCTGATAGGCTCAGTCACTTCTTTGTGGTCACACTGAATAAAACATTAAGTTTATTTTATAAATTTTGTCATGCGATGTTTAACAAAGGAGGATTGTCAGTGTTAAGCTCATTGGCTAATGACTTGTGACTGACAAGTTGAGCAGACTTAATTTTTTTTAAATCTTGAAATGTCAAACCAAGATTTCAGAAAATTGTGGTGGTTACATCTGCTTTTAATGCTGTCTGTGTTTAGCACCATGGTTTCCTGTCAGTTTTTCATGAGGCCAGAGGTGTATCCACAATGCATCTGTGCAAAAACCCTAAAAAACATGCTAGACTCTAAGTTTGACAAGCTCCAGGCTGTGTTGAGAGGATACAGGCATGCTCATGACAAAACCCTTAACTCTGCTGCTGGAAACTGTGGTTTAGATTCGGTTTAAGTGTTGCATCACGGCGCTCTGCACCAAAGAACATTTCTTTGTTCTGTTTTTTTTAAACATCCTTCACAGCCACCTTAAATTCATTTGATGTGGCTACATATCTGGTGGTATGCATGAAGAGAGAACAGTCCCATCCCCTTTGACAGCAAAAGTTCTTATTTCCACAACCTCACTTATCAGAAAACACCAATCAGATTGTGATCTGATTATGATCATGCTGAGTCTGTGTGGTTGTGTTTGCTCAGAGTTTCATTTTAAATGCCGCTCTCACCTTTTGTAATGTTTCCAGTTACACCCTTATTAATTTAGCTTTTGTTTCCCATGTTTTGTCCAAAAAGGATGCAAAAACAAAAAACAAAAGGACATTGCAGATTTTTCCTTTTTTACATTGCTTTAAAAGACAAATGAGCTTATTGAACATGTAGATAGTTACACTGATATAAAAAAATCCCTATAAACATAAAAAATGTCCAAATCAGCATCTACATTTTTCACATCGATACTAGTATATTAATAATTAATAACAGACTGGTTAAGAACGTTTGACTGCAATTCTTTTGGTAAATGCTACTTTCATGCATAATTACTCTATTCCACAGTATTCCAACTTCCTTATGTGTTCTTAAAATTATTATCTGAAAATTATTTACAAATACCCGACTTCATTTTCACATTTCATAAACAAGAAAGTCTTCGAACCAACAGCCAATAAGATCACTGCCTCATTCCCCTTTTCAACGTGCAGATTACTTACTGAAATAAATAAGCATTGTTGTTTGTTTATATTGTTGACTGATTCAATGACTTTAAGCGTTTTATCAGAACAGAAGCTGCAAGAAACTGCAAGAGAGCAAAGAGTCAAACCTAAAGCTTGTATGTGTGGTTTTTCTTACTCATCATCTACTCGTCTAGCATTGGGTTTATCGTTGCCGTGACAGCAAACCCACAAACAGGTTAAAGATTTAAGTTTTTCATTTTGAAAGCCTGGAGAGGCATTTAAACGAAAAACACTCAATAGATGCAGGAGTTAAAAAATGTCACAAGCGCCTCATAACATGGTCTTTCCAGGCAGCACAACCACAGGTATTGTATTTACTGAAACATTAGTATGGTCTGTGATGCCTCACAGTTTGACTGACCGCACAGGCTCATCATAGCGATCCTTTTAAAGGTTGCACTCATGCAGAAACGATATAAGTAAGAAGTCAAGGCCAAGCAGATGAAAACCACAGTCTGAATATAAGGGTCTGACTCAACACCTCAAAGACGATAGGCTGACAAAATGATGCATGCTGTGCACGATCTTATGTTTCTCTATCTTCTAACATGTCTTGGACAAAATGGTAAGATTGCAAAATGTAATTACTTATCTATTGAAAAAATCCTACATTAACTTTTTTCCTCTCACTCTTGCAGGGCATGGAAGTGAAATCATAAATGGCAAAAATGTCCCACAGAACTCCATGCAGTATATGGCTTCTGTGCAGATCAATGGAAAACACGTATGTGGAGGATTTCTTGTCAGTGAAGACTTTGTGCTCACGGCTGCACATTGTTACAAAAAGTAAGTGAACAAGCTGTGTACTTTTATTTGTTTTTCTCCAAAAACCCAGCTAACACCTACTTAATATTCACTCGCTCAGTTCTTCTATGGAGGTTGTAATTGGAACCCACAATCTGAAGAAGGTTAATAACAAGAAAATGAGATACAGTGTAAAGACATGCAAGCACCCACAATATGGCAAAGTTGTATCTGGTAATGACATCATGCTCCTCAAAGTAAGTAAATATCTTTGAATGTGAATCATTTCAGTCTCAATCAAAAACAGGTCAACTGCATCACTGCTTTCAACAACTCCACTTGGTACTTCACCAGAGTTGGTTTCTATCAGTCCTTTTATTCTTTTCCTTTTTTGCTTCTTCTAGCTCTCGAGGAAACTTCAACTGGACAAGAAAGTGAAACCGATACGACTGGCAAGGAAGGAGATTAAAGCAAAAGACAATGTAAAGTGTCAGGTGGCTGGATGGGGTTTCACAGAAACCAATGGCAAAGCTGTTGATGTGCTGAGATGGGTAGATGTGCCTCTTATTGACCTTAAGGTCTGTGAGAGGAAATTGAAAGCCAAAGTTACTCTTCCAAAAGGTGTTATCTGTGCAGGAGGATCTGACACAAAGAATGGATTCTGCCAGGTATGTCCTCTGTTCTTTTAAAGAAAGTATCACTTCACTTGTAACGTTAAATAGAAGATAAATAAAACAAGTTTCTTCCCTCCTTACAGGGTGATTCGGGTGGTCCTCTGGTGTGCAATGGAACAGCAGTCGGTGTTGTGTCTTTCAACATGAATGGAAATTGTAAATACCCAAATTGGCCCAACGTCTATACAGATATATCAAAGCACCTTTCCTGGATCAAAAACATTCTGAATAAAAAGAAATGCTAAGTATACACTGTAACAGTGTGCACTCTGCAATATCTGGCATTATAATACTGCATGCGAACTGCAGGATAAATGTAAAATAGCTTCAGATATCTCTCCTGTATTGCAAAGATATTCCCGCTTGCTCTTAAATTAGAAATAAAAAATAATGAAGCTACTTTCAAATCATGTCTCATTTTTTCAGTTAGTTTGGTTTCACTGATGTTTTTTAGCGATAAAAAACCAAACTTGTTTTTGTAGCACATTCATATCTGATGTTTGGTTTGCACAGAAATTTCCTGTGAGCCGGTGCTGCAGTGGTTAACATAGTCATGTCTGTAAACTGGCAACTCTCATGTAGCTTGTGGTCTCCCTGTTTTACCCCTTGAGAGTCTTTTCTTTGGTTACCAGTGCATCATTAAATTCAGTTCAATTAAATTTTATTCATACAGCACCAAATTACAACAACAGTTGCCTCAATATCCTTTATATTGTAAGTTACAGACCCTACACCATGTTTTGATGCACTCGCAGCCTGTTGAGGGTGTACCCTGCCTCTCACACACTATTAGGTGAGAAATGCTCCAGGCTGCTGAGACCCTGCTTGCATACACAGTAAAGAAAATGGATGGATGGACTGGTCCTGTTAGACCAAAAGTCTCTTTTTCATGTGTGGTGGACAGAATGACAAATGTCTGTTAAATCTTTGGCCATTTAATGTTTTAAATTAAGAAAAAAAGCATTTGTTTCAGTGTGACTGTGAGAACACTGGAAACTGTGGTTCCTGTGGTTTAACTATAGCCAGAGAGAGATCCAAAAAAGTTCAGAAAATAAACAGTTCTTTTTAAAAAAGCTTTGATCAAAAATAGATTGTTTAGTTTTATATTTTCAATTTCAAATCTGATATAGTATTTGTCAAAAATGAGCGATACCACAAAATCCATCAGATGTGACAAATGTAATCCGGGTTACAGCAGTGAGAGCCTTGTGTTGGTGGCAGAGCAGCACTAATACATGGTGTTTTTTTTTAAATGATAGAGAGGCATTCACCTTTATAAATTAGCTTTAAATTTGCTATGTGATTTCAAATGAGTTCAGAATAGCATGCTGATGAATCAAAGGTGGGACCAGAAAACTGGCCATAGTTATCTAATGTGCGTCTAACCTGTCTAGTCTAGTTTTAACTTTTGGAGCTCTGCATGGAGAAGAAGCAGCTTACATCAGAGAAACTTTACATCCATCTGACCACAGCAGGTCCCTGAGGTCATGTGATCTGAAAACTAAAGGAGACAGAGTTTTTTTTAACAGTGGCTTCCAGACTCTGGACGTCTCTCTCCCTGAGCCTGAGCTCTGTGAAATTGGTGGTCTCTTACCAAAAAGCAGCTAAATACTCCTCTTTTAAAACTTGCTTTCAGCAACTATTTTTTTTAATGTTTTAACATTTTTGTTGTGAAGCATTTTTTATATTCATCTTGAAA